CCTTCCCAAACCTACATGAAATGTTTTCAATTTGGTCCCCTTAATATCTATTTTATTTCTTTTTTACACAAATCTGCAAATGTTTTCACAAAAACAGTTCTGTCACTACTCTTGATAAATCAGTTCATTCAATTTGTGTGTACGACAGAAATTAAGCATAGCTGTGAAGATCGACTACTCTCATCTGATTTTATGTCCTGATTACCCGCCAGAACTAATCTCCCTGTCCAGGCTGCAGTCAGGTGGCAATTCCAGCAGAGGAGAACTGAATCCCAATTATCTTGAGACAAAGCATAGGTCTGCTTAAACTATTTTCTTGTGCAACGGGGGGATTAAATTGTGAACATCAAGCAAACTACACCTGGATGTTATGTTTTTGACAGTAAATCAGAACTTAGGTTCAAAGAATGCAAATAAACCCTAATTGTATCTGCTGGTGAATATCTGCTGCAAAAACAATTTGCACAGACCTCAGTGCAGAGTGAGTACATGAAGCTTTAGTGCCCCCCTGTGCCGACTAAAAGAATTTTAGAGGGCATTTGACAATTGGTATGATCTGTTCAGCAGGTTTTATTATATGAAAATGAAACGAATCGAAATATTGTTATAATTATAATTTGCTAAATAATATATAATTGCTAAATTATCATGTTATAGATTATTGTTTTTCCACAAAAACCCATCTGCACTGTTGCACTCATTGAGATTATGTAAGGCTAAGGATTTTTATTGTATCTATATTCAAGGTAAAGGTTATTTTTAGGGGGGAAAAAAACACTTGATACCTGATACCAAACCTCTGTCAGAGGAGGCTCATGCCACAGGCTTATACCGCAGATCAAAGGTCATCCTCTGATAAGAGTCTGTGTCTGAAATGAAAAAGTCCAGGCCGATCAGTCAGAGTGAGGCAATATGAGATAAAAGGTTCAAGTCATTTACAAACATAATGTTTTATATATAGCCTTATTCTGGGTCTGTTCAATCTGAGGCTGGAAGCAGAAGAAGGCAGAGTACCAGAAGTTATTCTGATCACTTTCCTCTCAGAAACCTGATGCGTGTCTGTTTTAGTAAACAAAGTTATCTAAGGCACATATAAAGACACTGACTTGAATTTGAGTGTTGACTAACATGACAACACATCTCTATGTGAACAAGACTTTATAAGCTTATGTGATATCAGCTGTGAAGATTAAGAAAATCAAACATTTTATTTTGTAATAAATTGATAATTTTAATAAGTTTTTATTAGTGTACAATTATTTGCTTGACTTTGTTGTTATGTCTCTCCATGGTATGTGGTGCCCCCTACTGTTTTATGTTTCCGTCCTGATAACTTTTAATCAATCTAATGAAATTGAACAGAAGACAAAAAAAAATTAAAAACAAATTTATATGTCAATATTTAATGTTATTTGACATATTATCCTAAAAACAACATCTCGTTGGTGGCAACATTAAATAGTGACAACTCTTAACACTCCCAAGCCAAGAGTGTACCTTTCTGCTCCAGAGAGACAGAAGTGAGCCAAACCGCATGCTTGAATTATTCTAATTATATCATTGTACTTTATAGGGATGTGCCACTTTATCCTCTTACGGCCAAACACCTTTTTAGGAAATAAAAGCTGTTGTAATGTTGCAAATCCAGAGGTGAATATGAGGATTAGATTATTCTCATATGAAGTCTCTAAATAACCTCAGTGAGAAAACAGAAGGCAGGAAGGGAAAGGACATAATGAAGCTGTGGCACTATTAGACATATCAAATACAAATGCAAAAGATCAAGACAGATAATGTGTGTCTTTTTTCAGCCTAAATAGAATTCCAGCACTGGGCGCCAAGAGCTGACATAAAAAGATGTGTGGTATCTGCTGACAGTACCGTGGAACTATTAGATGGTGGAAACTAAGGCAGCTCCTTTAACAGAGGCTGACCGTCCTGCAATACATTAGAGACAAGTGGCCGCTCGGCCTGGCAGAAAGCCAACCGACAGAAAATAAATGAACCAATCTACAACGACTTTAAGCTCTAGTTAATCCTTCCCACAACCACCTATGAGAACATCAAGGAGAAATAAAATTCATATTCCTACCAAGCACAGACAGGGACACAGCATCAAGGTAAGAGGTAATACAATTAAATACATAAAAAAGTAAAAGACTAAAATCTTATCATTGGACTACGTATCTATCTATCTATCTATCTATCTATCTATCTATCTATCTATCTATCTATCTATCTATCTATCTATCTATCTATCTATCTATCTATCTATGGTTCTATCTAAACTGCAAATACTAAGAATAGCATTTCTATTGCTAGTGTCAGTGTTAATAAGGACGTTTTCACATGCATCCCTCCATGCAAACTCCACAGCAACATCTGAATACCTCAGCAGCTCCTGTTTTGGTAAACACTAGAATAAATCCTGTAGTATGAGGGCTATTTTAGTCTTTTTTCCCTCCTGAAATTATTTTTTTTGGGGGGAGTGAATTCACACTGGAACGTGGATTTTTCTTGTTTCATTTCAAAACACGACAAGGAGGTGCTAACTGGCTTAGCCCATCACATCCTAATTCCTCCCCTGTACACACCTGCAGTATCATTCCTCCAATGTTCTTGTAAATGTTCACGCAACTACTAACAAACTAAGAAGAAACAAATCGTAAAATACAAAATACCAGATAGTAACTCAGCAGGACAGGGTTATCATTCAGGAGAACTACATTTAGTAAACATGTATATATAGAGGATGTCATATAAGGAGACTATGCTCCTTTAAATGTAAGGAAGGAAAAAAAAATACAAATTTTTTTTTTTAAGTTTTTACACTGTGAAAAAAAAATGAAAGTAATTGCTTATTTCTTGCACAGTATAAGTATTTTTCCTCCTAATGTTTTACCCTGTTTATCCACTCGTTTATACCTGGATCACATCCTGGGTATGATACATAAAAGGGTTTCTAAAGTCAAAGTTGTTTTAATTACAGTACATTTTAAATAAACAAAAATCTTAAACTGCATTCCTGTAAGCTGCTTTAAGCATCTTGTATTCAGCCTGTTGCAAATTTCACATTTCTTACATCCAGGAGAACAAGAGAGATGACAATTTAACAGAAATTATTATATCAATTCTAACCTCACTAATTTACTATTAAACAGCCTCCCATGTATTATGCATTGGTAATTGCCCTTCTTTAAAAATACTTGTCCAAGTAGGGATATGGAGATCTAAATAAGAATTGCTACATTTAATTATTGTCATTTTTATGTTCTCTAAAATGACATTTTAATGAAGCTATTGTTATTGTCAATGCCTACTAATCTTTTAGCTTTCACACGAACAAATTATCTTATCAGGGGCTTTGGACCAAAACTAATGCTACTCTACAAAAATTAATAAGTCAAATAATCAGGAAAACAAGAAAACAACCAAAAACAGCAATCTTATATCCCACTGGTTTATTGCCTTTTGTGCTATTATGTTAACTGTGGAATTTTATCTCTTAAGACAGCATAAATTACCTGCTACCAGCTCAATGGCGTAACGACACAACAATAGGCCCGTGAGCAACATTATCTGGGTGGGCCCCATATGAAGCCCACCCAGAACACCCCCCAGAACACCCCACCACCCCCGCAGACACAACCGACCCGAAACGTGCCGCATACCTACACACTTCACCATTCTTCACTAGGCATGGATATATCTTAGTGTATTAGCCCAACAAGCCATCGGGCTAGCTTGAGCTTCACAGCTCCCCTCCTCACCCACGTTCTCTCCATACATCTCACTGTAGCAGCAGCAACGTCCACCTCTCCCTTTTTGGTTCTTTGAAAGAACGGGTTTATTTTGGGAAGTTTTTTCCGTTCTTAAAGCAGCTCTTCTTTCCTTTTTCTTTTCTGGAATCCGCTTAAGTACCTCGTTTTGGTATCCATCATCGGTAACACATTGTACGTAACGATTATGGTTTTAATCGACACTCTGGATAACCCATAACTCCACGCCAAAGTGCAAAAGATAAAATACTCAAATATATCGTTCTTTTAAGACCTTTATTGCAGTTTGAAACATATTATGAGTGTATTTTTCACCAACTGTCTAATGAACTATGCACAGTTATTAACATAGCAATTAAAAGTACCACTGTCTGGTTTGCTATTGGTGTCATGTTTAAACGGCTCACCGTCATGTTGAAATCTGTTGGGGTATAAATAAGGTCTGGTCAGTCTCAGCAGTATCAGGGGCGTATAAAAGGAATTTTTCGCAACATTACATGTTCAAAGAGACATCCTAGTCCACAATAGCATAGGGGGCCAACCAGGTGTCAGTGACGGGGGCCCCTAAGAGGTCAGGGGCCCCTAAGCAACTGCACTCTCTGCTTACTGATATTTATGCCATTGTACCAGCTCTCTGCAGCCAACTGTAGAACACAGAGGTGGCTGTGACATGGTGAGGAAGCCAGAAGAAGACGGTGGGTTTTGGAGGGACTATCTTCATAGAACGCCTATAACACAACTGTATGAAGTAACTGCGGTTTGAAATTGCACAGCAAATGCACTGTAACAATTGCATGAAGAAATGAGAAAATAACTTAGATCAATTCCTGTTAATGTGGTAGATTTATTATCTCATTTCTTTGTCTTTCCATAAGGAGATTCTAATAAATCTGCTGCACATTTAGGAAGTACTTTGGAACTATTTGCAATCAAATAATTGGTGCAGGTGTCCCCTTGAAAGTTAGATTTTGTTATTGAAAGTTGTACTAAATACGATTTATGTAGGTCATGCGCCACACCTTAGGAAAAAGTTAGATTTTAAAGTTTAAAAGAAATCCCCGGGTCCCCTGCCTGGTAGGACGTGGGTCAGCGCATGCGCTCTGCCGCGCGTGTCCACCAGGGCGGTGAGCTCGCTCCCTCTCTCACACACACGCACGTTCTCCGTGGGTGTCTCTCTATCACACTCTCTCTCTGGGAAAAACCCGAGCAGGAGGAGAGCAGCAGAAGGGGGAGGAGGAGGTCTCCTTCTTCCGATTCAGCGACCGAGGCAGGCGATTTAAAAAAAAAAAAAATAAAAATTTAATTGATCAATAAATTAAGCGCACCAAACCTAGAGGTGCGGGGCGGCTGAGGAAGACAAAAAAACCCGCACGGATGTGTCTCCGAAGGCGCAGCGGATACCGCCCTCCGGACCTGATTAATGCCAGGATTGTAAGTATGCGCTGGGCTCGTAGAACGGGCAGGATTACGGGGAGTGGGTTGGAGGAGGTGAAGCTGCCGCGGTGCGGCTTCTCGGCGGTGGAAAGGGGAAGGTCGGACTCCTTGATTCCTTCCCTTTCCTTTCCCCTCCCTCACCTCTCTCCCCCTCATTCCCCCACCCGCTCCGTTCTTTCCTCTCTCTCACCTCCTCGGTTTCTGCAGCAGTTATTCTTTAAAAATGAAGTGAAAGAAGCGGGTGACTAATAACACTTGACTTTAGCGGGGGCGGTGCAGTCTCACACCTCGTCTTTAACAGCTTTTATTTCTGTATCATGTAATATGAGCAAAAGGAAAAAAAAAAAAAAAAAAAAAAGAAGGAAATAACAACTGAGCTGTGACGTCTTTTATTTCCCTGTCAGTTTGACATCCTGTCACTTGTCATGTCTTGTCTGTTAGTTTTGTGAAGCATCAGTTAAATGCATCAACTTCTCACCTGTTTAAACCCACCTGGTCGCTCACAGAGGCTGATCATCCACAGGTTAGGCTGCCATGCACTCAACTCAAATTTTGCACAAGTTTTATTTTATTTTGATGAACTTTTGAAAGTTATGTGGGTGTTTTTTTTTATCTGGAAGAATAGCTAATTAGGAAAAAAAAGAAAGATGTTCTAACTTGCCAGGGAGATTTGCCAATCCAAATGACTTCTTCTGTAATTTGTTGCACAATAAAGTTTTTGCTTTGTACTCAGAAGACAGTATTTATGGTAGGTGACCATCTCATGTGTGAATTTAAAGTTGTAGGGAAGTCATATTTAAATGTCAAACCATTCTGGCTTAAACGTGTATATGAATGTACTCTTTATCAGACCACATTGTCCCAAAAGTTAGAAAATTTCTATAAAAAAAAAAAAATCCTGTCTTAAAGCTACAGTGTGTAATAATTACAGGGATATACAGTCAGAAATGTAATATATTATACATAACTATGTTATTTATCATCATCTATGAGCTCAGCCTCTTAACCTTAATATTTGCGTTGCCTTAGAATTCGTTATTTATAATTACATAGGAGCGGGTCTCGCAGCCATGGAGGCAGACATCTTTGCGCTACGGCAGCGCAGAGCCAACAAACTAGCGATTGTGAGATCGCCCATTACGCTCGAAAGTAACTATGGCAAGTTGAGAGAGATGAACTGAGACGGCACTGAACAATAGATGGCATTATTATGCCTGAGAATACTATCTGTAAAATTATCTATGTAAACAAACCTCATCACTTGAGAAGGTAGGTGATGTGGACGTTGTGGAAGACATTTTGTCCCGTAACGCTCGCCGTACTGTTGGGGGGGAGAAGTGGTGGGGGGAGATGTTCATGTCGCTGCGGTCTGCAGTCTGGACGTTAGATGTCGCTAAAAATTACACACTGTAGCTTTAAAATCTGTTGTTTTTTTTTCGTAATCTTATGAAGACCAGTTAGTTATACGTCAGCTTGTACACCTAAATTCGGCCAATCATATATCAATGGTCATCTGTCGGTCAAATTTATTCAGTCATAGCATCTTGATTCATATCTCGCAGCTAATATACGCAACGGTTGAAATAAGAAATAAGAATCATTTACTTTACCATTGAGTTCCGTTCCAGTGTTCACAGGGATGGACGTCTGTGTCTTCAGCAGGCGTAGAGCTAACAGAACTGGCAGTGTTGTGAGGCAAGGGCTCTAACATGTATGGCTGTAAGCCTTCTACACCAAACAGAGCTTCTGCCGGCCTGGCGTCGTCTTCCACAACAACATCGTCCCCGCTTCCTTCCTCTGGATAAAAAATGTTTGACGGAAAAGACTAATCCTCAACCTCTGACTCAAAACTCTCCTCCTCTTGCATGTTTCCGCTGTCCATAGCTTTCCTTGACAGTGTCGGTGCTAAGTCCCCAATTTAGTGCTACTTGGTCCCAATGTAATTTCCCATTGGGAACCTACCAGCAGTCAGTTGCTAACTGGTTAGCAAGATGCTTCCGAGACATTGGCCACAACCAACTTGCTTGCAAACCTTCCGCCACAACCTTCCCGCCCTCTTGATAATCAAACAATCACATTCGATTTATTCACTCGTGTAAAGTCGGGCACCACTCGGGAGAATTTCGGAAATGCAACCGTTTGAACAGCCGCTTTCCTAAGACTTTAAACTGACTGCATCTTTTGCTTTCTATCCCCAAAACATCTCTCTAATCTCCTTTTTGGTAATTTATTGACGCTATTTACTGAAATGTCAAAATGTATTTGCAACCCCTCTGCAGAGATCTTCCTTTTTCTTCTTCATTTAACTCACTTTGCAATGTTTCAAACAAAATTGAAACTTATTATGGAACAAGTTAACCAAATCTTTATGGTTTTAAAAGAACAAAAGTGTGAAGAATGCCCTTGTTTTATGAAGCTGAGTTCAGTTTTATTAGCCGCACCCTGGTTGTATTAGTATAAGACCAGTAGATTTAAAAAATTGCTAAAATAGTACTTGTCTGACAACATGAAGTTGGCGTAGAAGGTCTCAAAAAGCGACATATGATCTGCGCCCTGATCTATAGATATTACACAGCAGGTGAGTCTCAAATTTGTTTATTCATTGGCCTGGAAAGGATTATAAAGCTATTTGGGAGGCTTTGGGACTCTGGCGAACCACAGGGAGAGCCATTCTTCACAAGCTGAGAAAACACTGAACTGTGTTGAACCTTCTCAGGAGTACCCATCGTACCAAAATTACTACAGAAGTACAACGATCTTGGAGGTCACAAAACACCCCGATCAACATGTAAACTACTTCCAACCTCACTTTCTTAGTGTTCATGTTTTAAAGCTAAGATAAAAAAATGAAAGTTGGAAGGCAAAACAGAACTTATGAAAAAGAAGACAAAAATTAATTGCATATTTACCAAAAAGTCTGAATAATTCGCAGGACTTTGAGGAAAATACTCATTGGAATAATGAAATAAAACGAAGACTTTCTGGGAGATCTAGATCTAACACAGCATATCCCCCTGAAATATATATATATATATATATATATAATATACATGGCTACATTTGATTTTTCAAATCCTGAACAGCTGGCCCTAAATGATGGAGCCATTATTTCACTTCACTGACAACACTCAGAGGAAAAATGCCTGGCTATCAATTAGCAGCTTTGAGATTCAGCTTAATTGGGTCACGGCAGGTCAATTATCCGGACCAGAGCGGCAAATCAACCTCGGGGCAAAAAAAAGATTTTAGAGTGGCCTAGTCAAAGGCTGGAGTTAAACTTTTATGCTAGAAAACCCTCCATTGTGCCTAATAAGAATCATGTAAAGCCAAAGTTTCGCCACAGCTGTTAAAGAACTTATTACCATCTTCTTTTAGATTATCATGGTTATCATTGTCATTAATTTTGGAGAACTAGTTCTTAGAGTTATATGTCAGTTTGGGTGGTTTGTGCAGCCTTTTTTTTTTTTTTTTGCTTGTATTCATGAAATCATTATTTGAATACCTAAGTTCGCGTTCAGGTTCTTGAGCTATATTTGCTTAATTTTAAACAATTCTCTATTCTCATTTGTGTATATCTAATCATGGAAACATAACAAAACTCAACAAATCTTTCAGGGGGAGCTTACAATGCTATGGATGCTATATGTTTACAGCTGGGTTGGCTTTAAAAACTGCTTTCAAATAGTTTGCTTAAAATCAGCCAATGAATGAGTAAGTTCCAATGCTAGAAACCTGTTATGTACATAGGCATTGTTATTTCACTTGTAAAACCAAGTATTGAGTGAGCATTTTCTCAACTTTTCTATGTTTTCAATGGAGAACATGTGAAAGACTAATGTTGGCTGCAGTCCCATGTAAAGCATATTGTCGCTCATGGTTTGGTCTTAAATTTCACCTAGTGGGTTCGGGAATGCACTAGAAATCTTGAAATTAGACCTGCATATTCCATAAGGGCATTTTGCAGTGAGTCAAAGTCAAAGGTTTGTTCATAAGTCCATATCCACAGAATTCAAATAACACACCTTAATATGGTTATATTCAAAATAAGTCAACCATCTAAGGGGATTAAAGAGAAAAGAATATGTCTAAAATGATAGAAAGTCACTTTTCAGTTGAAGAAAACAAAAACATCCCTACATAAATCTTTAGAGAAAAAGGATATTGTGATCTTAGGATTTAAAATGCAATCATTTTATTTTTTTTTAACATTAACATGCACTCTGTTACAGTATGTTGTGCAATAGATGTAGCAAGCATCATGCTTGCAGGTTGATAAGACAATCGTAGTTGAGTTTTTCTTGTTGTTCTTAACTCAGGATTTTGAAGAAATGCCTCTAAGAATGGCTACACTTTCTTTCATAATGCCATTTCAAATCAGAAACCTCTCTGCCGGGTCCTTAGAGAGGGAATACATTGTTCTGTCCGTGTTGCCTTTTTTCGTAGCTGACATAAAGGCACATAAATATCTAATAAACAAATCCTCTGTCTTGGTATGGAAACCTTTATAGAGTGAAAGACTTAAAGCTCAGAGAGCAACAAAAATACTTTGATTAAAAGGCTGAATGGAGACCATGGGCAGCATGTTTTTTGGGTCAATGATCTATAATATTGGCATTCAACTCCATCCTTAAAGAGCTGTTATCCTGCATGTTATTTACCTGCTCTACAGCTACACGGCTAAATGAACTCATGTTTGATTTAGGTTTGCTGGCTCAGCAGGTGCAGCGTCTAACTTCTGACTGTTGGATCAGACCTTGGATTGAGGGGTTAGCTCTCCTTCCGAGAGCAGCAGGTGGATTCCAAAGTGAGATCTTCAGGTTTGGCTCTCTAGGGCAGGCAGGCAGATTCAGATTAAGCTCTCCCAGAGCTCCACACGAGAGACAAGTTTTCCTAGGAGCGACAAGACAAAGGCTGGTTAGAATTCAGTTTTCTCCAGGGGACAAAATTCAAAGACAAGGAGGCTCAGGTTCGCTAACCAAACTTAGCTAACACTGCGG